ATCATCCAATGTTACTGTGGATTAATTACGATGCAGCTCAATAATCTATTTTCATTTTGTTCTCTTCACCCACAAATTTGAAGTCCTTCAATTTCCTTTGCTTACTACATTTGGCAATTTAGCAATTTATAAATAAATAAAAGCGTCAACGAAATATAATAATGAGGAAGGAAAAAAAAAACACAACAAATTGTGGGGCTTAGGATTTTATGACAGGGTCTATGGCAAGGCTAATTCAGCAAAAGTGTGGGCCTCTAGAGCCCAATTTTCTGACACTTTCAGTAAACAGAGTAACAGAGAAGACGAACAACAACATAACTATTGCATTAATGGCGCAACAAAGCCATTTAAGTACAGCTGTAGAATATGGACCAACCCCCAAAAAAGGAGCTAACACAAAAACAATGCTCCATTTTTTTCCAGACCATGAAATGTGAGAGAATCAGCGACTGAAAAATACCAAAAAGAAAACAGTTTAAAACTTTTTTAAAAAAATTGGTTTAATTATCAGGATAGTTATTTTATTAATAATTATTTCTTACAATATATTTATTATGTAAAATATTATGTGAAATTTTAAAAATAGAAAGATTGAATATTCCTTGGATTGAATTATTAATTAAGGAAAAAAGTATTTATTTGGTATAAAAAATAAAAGGACACTTGTCACAAGTAATAATAATAATAATTTTCACTATAAGACTGAACAAATTAAATTTAAACCATATAAATAATTAATTAAAAATCTCATGTGTATTTTTTTTTTCAGCCTCCTTGTACATAAAGAGAGGTATTTAATGAAGTCATCGTGGAGAATGCATCAAATGCATAAGGAAATGTAGAAAAAATCTGAGTGGAAAGGGCTTTCTTGCCCATTTTTATCATTTGCTTCCATTTCTTTTTTATTAGAACACTGATATTTGTCAGATTTTTTTTTTATAATTAATTACATGGTCAGTGTTATGGTGAATAATTCTGTGGAATCCAATGATTCAAATTAAAAAACAGTTACACATTAAATTTACAAAACCCATTAATCCATATTTGTTTGACAAAGAAAATCAATATAAATTTTTCTATTATACTCTAGAAAAATCATATTTACTGTTCTCTTAGATTATTATATTTAATCGTATTTGTGACATATTACATCTCATCTATTTGTTGTTTTAAAGTTCAATGAAATATTAACAAGCAATTGTCGAAATGTTTTAAAAATACACGACTTTTCCAAGTTTAAGGCACCCCCATAACCCCTAAGTTTATATTATTTATTATTCTGTTTATAAAAATAAATAAATAAATTTATATTTTATTTAATAGTATTTATAATATTGAATGAATGAGTAAAAAATAGGTGAGCATTTTATCAACAAAAATTATATATATATATATATATATATATATATATATATATATAATTTAACAAAATGTATGTTAAAATGTGTCTTTATACATTATTATAATTAGGACAAAAAAAAATCCTTATTATTTTTTATAAAGAGAACTAAAGAAGTTATCTGACTAGTCACTGTAATTATGACTAAGCTACTATACGTTTAAATTAATCAAAAAATTAACTTCACAAGGAGAGTGTGAAAAAAAGTCAGTAAAGGAAAATCAATTGTATAATAACACAAAATATGTCGTTAAATTAGAACAAAGAGTTATGAGTTGTAATTTGTTTAAATTTCACTGTATTTTCAATATTATTATATATTCTGGAACTGTGCTAAACAAGATCTATCATTGAAAGGAACAATGGATTGCAACATAAGCTAATTAGAGTGCAAATGACACTGTTATATCCCTTTTTTCAACCCCAGCTGTAGTTGGCTTCTAACTACCGAATATAAGGGGTGGATTAGGGACCACAAGTAAACTTTATCAATCAATGATCATTATTATTGATTAAGTTAAATTTAGGAAAGTTCATAAAATTAATAATACCAAGTCTTATCTCTCGTATGAACCAATTTATCCTTAGCTCCTAGTTGACTTTTCCCGTTTTAATTAACAATAACCACTCGTTTTGTTGCTGTCACAATCACTTTTTGATTTATAATGTACCAAAAAGAATTTTTGTATTAGCTTCTAGCACTTATTTTATAAACTTTTATGTGCGATAAGATAAGCATAACAAATATTGAAATAGATGTTACTACATAATTCTCAATTAATTAACTCATGAATAGAAAAAAGGTCAAAGCCTTTTCTTCTTTCTTTTAAACGTGAAAGCTTTGGCCTCAAAGATGTATATTCAACAAATGATTATTAAATAGTTAGTATCTTCAAACAAATTCAAATACAATATGTCATTGGAAATGTGTTAGTAATGGAAAGATTGGATAGTTTATAACAAGTTATATATTTATATTTTGGCATCTCTTACAAGTTTTTTTTTTCGTGGTGCGCATTAATAATTTTAGGGATAGAAAACTCAACAGAAATAGAGAAAAATATATGAGTAGTACATTTTTTGTTAGTGGTAATTGAATTTTTTTAACTTTTCTTGATGTGAGAAGTGATCATGTCAATTAGGTTAAACATCCTTGATTGTACTTTCCTCATGACGTAAGATCGATGAGAATGCGTGAACTTCACTTGTGATATTTGATGGAATATGAACAAGTTACTAGTAAAGAAAAAATGTTATATATTAACTGTTTAACGTTACAAATGTTAAGTTGTAATCACTATAAATATGGTGAATCTATTCTGATTATTAAGATGATACATTATATTATATCGTTTAAAAAATATGTATAATATATTATATCATTTATATAAATTCATAACATGTATTTTAACCAATTTATTTTTTTTAGTCAAAAGTCGTATCTATCCAATCAATCTTATTATTTAATATCTTTTATTCATCAAATTATAACATCTTTAGTATTCGTGTTTATATCAAATATTATCTCAATTTTAATTAAATAAAACAATTTAATATTTATTTTTATGATGTTAATAAAAATATTTTTTAATATTTTAAAAATGAAAAACATTTTTTTTATATTTGAAAAACATTTTTTAAAAATTTACTATCTATTTCAGTTAATAAACATATTTAGTCCATAGATTTATTATAGAGTTAAATTTAATTATAGTCTTTTTAAAAAATATATCGATTTAATTCTTATAATATTTTAAAAAATAATAACTATCGTACCTTATTAATAATACGAGACATGTATGTAACTATGCTAGAATGATAACCAATTTAGATATATGTCATGTTACTTGCTGCCAAGTAGTAATAAAAAAACAATTTTAAAAGAATTTAAAATATACAAGGATTAATTGATGGTTCGTTTGTAAATCTAACTTGAGAATTGTTCCCTGGAATTGACTTTTATTTTTGTTACATGTTTTTCATAAATAAAAAAATGAGACATAAAACTTAATTTTAACTACAATTCAAACAGGCTGTATATAAATATAACAAAATTTTTAGAAAACAAAATCTAAAGCTAATCATATTTAATTAAAATATATAAATACGATTAGCTTTCAACGTGATGAAAAAAATAGATATTGTTTGTATTAGTGATATAGAGCAACAATACAATACTTATGAATTTTGATGTGAAGTTGAATTAAAAGAAAGAAATTAAAAAAAGTAAGATTAGTAGTGAAATAATTAATTAATTATTATATAATAAATTAATTTTAAATATAAAAAAAATATCGTATAACGTATAAATATGAAATTGTTTAAAGTCTACGTAAATATCAGATTATTTAAAATACGTCAAATACTAAATTAATTAATCATTAATAATTTGAAAGAAACATTTTAATAAACAATTTAAAAACTTATTTACCGTATGTTATATGTGGTATATATTTTAGAAATTAAAGTAAAAATTTATTCCTTAAAATTCCTTTAATAATTGGACTGATTACATTCATATGATCTTTCAAAAACCCATGTCCCATTATTTATATTTATTTATTATTTATTATTTATTATTTATAATTATAACAACAACGGGCAGCAACATGTCATGTCCATCCTAAGCTAAAGTAGCTCTCCCTTATTCAATGTGAAATTAAAACCACATCCCCAACTTCTTTTTAACAGGAAATTAATGAGTCTGATGTTTTAGTAAAAGCACACTCAAATCAACAATATTTTCTATTCATTTATCGGTGAGACATGATGAAATTAAGTTTCAATATTTTTAGTGCAATAAATATTTATTTTTGTAACATATTTTTATTAATTTCAAATATTTTAAGTTTATTCTCAGAATAAGAGACTAAAATAGAAATCCCAAAATAAGCTACTCAACCTATTTAAGTTAATTTGTGACAAATAAAATTTTTAATGGACTGAATTTAAAAAACTCGAATTTAATTTATATTTGTTAAAATAGTATTTAAAATAAATAAAATATATTTTTTAGATAAATTCAGATCAAATTAAATTTAAAAATAGAGACCAGTTAGAGCAGCCCGGCACTAGCGTCAACGAATGGTTAAGCCAACGTTAAAAAAAGAGCAAATAACGAGGGACCGGTGCGGTGACTTCCGTCACTGTTACTGAGTCAAATATCTCAGATCCATTCAACGTACCAAGCCGACACTATTAAATATAACTCTCAGCCTTTTCCCCCGTTCTCAGGCAAAAATATTAGTATAGAAATTCAGTAGATGAAGTCTTAAGTAAACACAACATATTAAATATTACTATTCTTTATTGTAAAAACTAACCACATCACTGGATATTTAGAAATATTATTATTTTTCGTAAAAATTAAAAACACAACTAATCTTAAAAAACAGTTTTCAATATTAAAATAATAAAAATTATTTCTTTTAATTTTCAATATATATTCGTACAAAAAATATAAAATAATTATAGATGATGTTAATTTTTTATATTAAAATAATGTAACTGTAAAAATAATGTGTTTTGAATAATTTTTGCTATCAAATTTCTATCTACTACTTTCATAGTGTCCTTTTTCTGTTTGACTTTTAGTCCTGCAGTTCACTTTGGTGTCCTTTTACTTCATTTCTCTTTCCTTGGCAACCAAACCAAACCCCTTCTCTTTTCTCATCTCTTAAAAAGAAAGCTGAAATGGTTGTTGGTTGGAGTTGTGGTGCCCAGTGGAGTGTGCGTCGGTAAGAGATCAAACATTGCACGTTATGATATGATATTCATTATTTATGTCTGTGGCTTTAACCTTCCCAACTCTTAATTAGTCTGAACTGCTTCATCTTACTGGACTCGGCAGAGTTGAATCTATTCACCATTGGGTCTCAGCTATTGCTCTTGGATGATCCACGCACTAACACTACCTCACACTTCGTTCTTAAGAGGTCAGAAACCAAAGCACACCCCTTTGATGATTATATATGTACTTGCCCCATCGTTTTAATTATAATTTTTTATTTAAGTTTAATGTTGCATGGAATAAATTTTCAGGCTTTAAGCTGATAGGGAGATTTAAAGTGTTTTTTTTTTCTTTTTTCTTAAATATTGATGATGTGTTGAAATGTTATGAAATGTGATATCCTGTCAATGTAGGTGTTTATGTAAATAATTTTCTTTTTCCTGATGTAATATACTTTTGTATCATGGTATGTTTTAGTCAAATACCATATAAGTATTTAATTAATTATTTTGTTTTCAAGACAATTATTTTCCTTGTGTTAAAGTTACATCCTCTAAAATCATGCTATGACTATACAGTTACATGGTTAAATTTCGTAGTTTGTTTGCTTGAGGGATATATTTTTGCTTAGTTTTGGAAATTATCTGACCAGCTTATCAGCTAATTCATGACTCAGTTTATTCAACAGTTCAATTAGCTGAGACTTTTGGCTTATTTGTTAAATCAATTGAGTTTAAGTTTTTACAATTGGCTCATCAGTCAATGAGCCGACTCCTTATAAAAATATATCATCTAATAAGAATATGGATGATAACAATGTTTTGATCTAATATATATTAATCTTTGATTTTATTTTTGGTTTCACTACCTTGTTATGTAAAAATTGTTTTATTGAGATACAAATTTGAAATCAATTCATTGAGCTATAAAGCTTAGTTAAGAGTTGGTTCATTGAGCTGGGTTTGGACTAGCATGGCATAGGTCATCCCATTTCCAATCTTGACTATGCCTGAAACATTTCTTGCAACCTTTTTCGCAATCGCATCAATAATGAAATATTATGAAATATTAATATAGTGATTCTCCATGAACTCGTTCTATTATTAATAAAGTGGTGAAAAGTGAACAGCACTTCAGATTATTTGCATATTAGCACTGATTTTTTCAAAAATTTATCAGTATTGTTATTGTTTCAGTTAGCCCATCCTTCCAGTTAGACTGCAGTAGCATACTCATTTTCCCCTGACCAAAATATCCATGAAGGCTTCTTATATTTGACGTCTTCTTACCATTATGGATCACAAGACTTGGCTTTGGGGTAAAAAGTCCACACAGAAGACAATTTTAGCAACTGATAAAGCAAATCTCACTTCAAAAGAAAATGAAGAGGTAATTTAATTATGTGTAACATCAATTGCTTCTGTTCTCATCATATATATTTTTCACTTCTTGTAAATACTACGCATCTTTGGGTTCAATTATTGATTAAGTTGGCTATTAAGAGTGTTCCTTCCCATTCAATGTCCCACATATTTTAGAGTGCTAATTTCATGCTTCATTAATCCATGCTACTCTTTCCGTGTTAGTATAAGTGCTAATGTAGACAGGTGTTTGTCCTGGGCCCTTTATCTTGAAATGTATCATAATTACAAAATGGACAAATTAATTCTAAATGTACCTATTTGTTAGAGACCTAGAAATCTTCCCCAAAATTTACATAGTGATTTCTTTATTACTTGATAAAAAATGATTTGTATTTTGTCTTATTTTTCCTTTCTGTTTTAGGTACAGGCACTTCAAATTGATAAAGAAAAATTGGAGAAAGACTTAAAAAGATTAAACGATAAGCTTGCTTTAGCACTTTCTGAATGTAATGCTAAGGATGAGCAAGTGAAGAAACAAACAAAAATTGTGCAAGAAGCAGTGGCAGGTAATATTCATGCTTCCTATGTGTTTGTTTATCCTTTCCTTGCACTTTACAACTTGGGACAATAATACTAATCAATTATGCACTGTTCTTAGAGTAATTTTACCAATCTCTTACAAATGCTTCCTTTGAAGGATGGGAGAAGGCAGAAACTGAAATATTGTCTATGAAGCAACATCTAGAAGAATCTATACAGCAGCAATTTGTTTACGAAGAAAGAGTAGCCCATTTGGATGGTGCTCTCAAGGAATGTATGCAACAATTACGTTTTGTTAGAGAAGAACAAGAGCAAAGGATTCATGATGCTGTGACGAGGGCTTCAAAAGAATTTGAACAAGCACGCATTGTTTTGGAGGAGCAGCTCTCAGAGACTAGTAAAAGTCTAGCCAAATCTGGGGCTGAAAATTCTCATCTTAGTAAGTCTGTTGTTGCTAAAGAAAATTTGATTGAAGATCTGAAAAGACAACTGGCTCATGCGGAGGCAGATCATACTGCATTGATGATTAGATTAGAGTCCATTGAGAAAGACAATGCTTCTTTGAAGTATGAAGTTCGAGTGCTTGAAAAGGAACTTATTATTCGAAATGAGGAGAGAGAATTTAATCGTCGAACAGCTGATGCTTCTCATAAGCAGCACTTACAAAGTGTTAAAAAAATTGCCAAGTTAGAATCAGAATGCCAGAGGCTACGTCTTCTGGTTCGAAAACGGTTACCAAGTCCTTCTGCCCTGGCAAAAATGAAAAATGAAGTTGAAATGCTGGAACAGGATTCACTTGAGACAAGGAGGAAACAGTTGAACTCAACCAGTTTAATGGAACCTTTAGTTGACATATCTCCTGAGACTATCATTAGAAGAATCACTACTTTGACTGAGCAACTATGTGCTGTGGAAGAAGAAAACAAGACTTTGAAAGAATCCCTAAATAGGAAAACAAATGAAGTCCAATTCTCAAGAATAATGCTTGCTCGTACAGCTTCTAAACTGTTGCGACTTGAGTCTGAGCTTGAATCTAGAGGTCACGGGACCTTGGAGCAGCCTAGAAGTAATCTTGCATTGCAAGATTTCTCTTTGGCATCAATGTCTGACATTAGCAGTGATGACAAGGTTAGCTTTGCTGAATCCTGGGCTTCTGCATTGATTTCAGAATTGGAGCACTTTAGAAGTGGAAAACAGAAGGAATCATTGTCTTGCAGAAGTGTTGGACCTTCAGACATAAGCCTTATGGATGATTTCCTTGAAATGGAAAAACTAGCAGTGGTCTCTGATGAAAGAGCCCCAGAAATTTCACATGCTTCTTCAGAAGCAAATAATGAAATAAATGGCTTCTCAGAGACTGGACTGAATGAGATTACCTCTGAAAAAATAGGTAAGGAAATCGTTCCTGTGTCTGATCATTTGTCAGAGTTCTCAACATCAAATCGGGAAATATGTTCCAATGATATATTAAAGGATGATATTCCCAGTTGGCTTGTGGATCTAGTAAAAGCAATCTTGGAACAAAACTGTGTCACTCATAAGAACCTTGATGATATACGTGAGGATATTGGATTGGCTTTGAGCTATCTAAATAATACAGATCAATGTGGGTTTGATTCAAGCAACGGCTTTGGTCAATTTGATGCATGTAAGCCTCCCCATTTTAGTCCCCACGCCTCACAGGAACCTAATTCTATGTTAGATCCACGTGGTGAAGTAAATGATTCTGAGATTTTACCAACAAAGGGAACTAAACAACAATCTCAGAGTGATCTGAGTAAATCAATAGGTAAAATAATTGAGCTTATTGAAGGAATCAGCATGCCTGCTGAGGATTATGATAATTCAGATTTGTTGTGCAAAAGAGATGGAAATATCCGCACACATAAGAATCAAGGAATGCCATCAGGCTATATGGCTCGTGTTTTCCAATGGAAAACATCTGAACTCCGTAATGTCTTACAGCAGTTTCTCCGTGTGTGTTACAATTTGATTAATGGCAAGGCTGATCATGAAAAATTTGCCACAGAACTAACTACAGCTTTGGACTGGATTATGAATCACTGCTTTTCACTTCAGGATGTTTCTAGTATGAGGGATGCAATTAAAAAGCAATTTGATTGGGATGAGACACAGAGTGAAAATGAAGCCGAAACCATGTTCATAGATTCACATAATTTTTCTTGTCATGCTCTAACTAAAGAAATGCAATATGATGAGAAGGAAGGATTTAAAAATATTAAAAATAAAGTGACCAATTCTGAATCGGAGAAGGAAGCCTTGGAATTGGAAGGGAGGCTCCAATCAACCATAAATAAACTTCAGGAATCAGAAAAAATTATTGGCAGCTTGAGATTGGAGTTACAAACCTTGAAAGAATCCAATCGGATACTTGAGGATCAAATTCAAAGTCATGCATTCATAAAAGCAGAACTTGACACTCAGCTTACCGAAACTGAATTAAAAGAGGCTAATCACAAGGTTTTGGCATTAGAAGTGGAACTGGAGAACAAGAACCAGTATTGTGAAGAACTAGAGACCAGATGTGTTGAACTTCAGCTCCAGTTTGAAAGGTCTCAGTAATCTTATCTTCCAATATTTATTACTGTTCGATATGATTTTAAACATTTAGGTTTTCATTTCTTATTTGAAGATTGATATATACTCACCTATCAAATTTATCTTCACAGCATGACAAAGGAGTGGTCAAGCAATGACATTCATCAGAAAGATGAGCCGTTGCAAACTGTATGCTTTCTCATTTTATTTCCTGGCCTTTACTCAATGACTTGTAGTTAGACTAGATTACTATCTTCCTATATGGCATTCTAGAAAATTTATCAATTTGAAGCATTATTCATCATCTAGACACAAATTTGGCGCTGAATAATTCTTTCATTTTATATGACTTGACTTGGTTTTTAAACTGAAATTGGAAGGTCCCAGACTAGAGCACAGTGAGCAACTTACTTTGTCGATTCATTAATAACATTTTAATTTTCTTTTAAAGCTCTGAATTCCAGTAAGTAATATAAGCTATATGCAATTCTCTGGAACATCCTAAGTGGCATGGGAAATGGCACACCATGATTTGTTTCCTTCCAGCTGAACATAATTGAAAATAGATATATCCAAGGCCTGGGCACAGCCTATGATTTTAGCGTGGAAGTTGGAATAGGATTTTAGATTAGTCGTGAAAGAAAGACTATAAGTGATATTGGCTATTTTATATTCTTGCCTGTTGTACTTTCCACTAATTTGAATATTGAAAAATTAAATGATTGCTTTTACTTTTGATGAAGGAAAAAAGTTATACTTCTAACTTGCATGGTAACTTAAAAAACTGAATCAGGAGCATCTACTTGAAATAGTCAATGTTTCCATCTATCATACCATTTCCAATTATCAATAGAGATCTTCATACTTTCTGTTTTCTCTTGTTATAGAGTGGAAGTATTGAGCTTGTAGCAGAACACTCGACGTTTTTTTTCCAGACAAATATTTTAATTGATGGCTGAATGATACAGTTTGATAAGGGCAGACACCAATCCTCTATAATTTTTATGGCACTGCATGACTTCATTATTAGATGGATGCTTGACCTAGCTCCAAAAATTCAAAAAATCTGACTCTCTTGGAATTCTATATGCACTCTCTTGAGATCAACGAATAAAACCCATGCAAGGCCTTCCCTTCATGAATTTAGCTTAGTACAAAATAAGTAAGTTATGCAGTAGTAGTGGTATAAATGGACTGACGAAACTTTGTCAGCTCCACTAGGAAAAATTCAGGTGGAATCTTTTAACAAGTGGATACAAATAAATGAAAATGGAGCTGTGATTATGTGTTTTGTGTTCGGAGTGTATTGATCAAAACATTTCAAAAAAACCAGGATAAGCAAGAACCATGTACCCTTATGTGTGAATAATGACTGAACTAAATTATTGAGTTGATTGCATACCTGTGCAAATCCATCTTTGTTACAATGTGTATTAGTATTGACTTGAGGATTGTTTATCAATCCTGCAGGACTGGGAGATAACTGCTGCTTCAGAAAAGTTGGCAGAGTGTCAAGAAACCATCCTTAACCTTGGAAAGCAGTTAAAGGCATTAGCAGCACCAAAGGATGCCTCCCTTTTTGACAATGCCATCACCACCCAACTACATACAATCACAAATACAGCTACTGTCCCTCGAAAGGACGTGAAAGTGAAAATTCAATCTACTCTATGTGATCAGACAGTGGCTGATGATGATACTAAAGCTAAGGTTAGCAAAGGTAGTGAAAGAAGCTGCAGTCCCACCAGCATTCCTGGCTTTAAACAGCCCCTGGGAAAGATTTTAGTTTTGAATGGACTTAAAGGCCAGGATGACAATGCTAGTGTTAATTCTTTGGCTATTGTACCTGCCAAGAAATCTGGTGGTCGAAATTTTTGGAAAAGGCTGTTATGGAGAAAGAAGAAATCCAAAAGGAAAACTCAATTTGCATTTAACACATGAAATGCAATTCTAGTGTTGTTTTAGTATTTCCTTAGAGTGGAGGGAAATTATATCTTGATTGCTATATTTATAATGGACAGAGTTGAGTGATATTTGTGTGTCTTGCTCGACTCTTGTTTATACGACTGAAAACTAACAAGTGAAAATTCATGTTATTGGATGCATGGGACATTGTTGTTATGGCATATATACTTAACAGGTTTTGTGAGCTCATATCAATCTTGTTAGTTGTGTATGCCTTTTCCTTCTTTCTTTATGGGCAAACAACATCCTACATCAGAATTCCTCTATGATCACTGATGTCATTCGATTATTAACACGACCGTCGTTACTACTTGAAAGTGCCTTAGGCTTTTTGGTTTAGTCTCTGTTTGGTCATTTGATCAAGCCACTGTTTTCTTTTAAACAAGCTGTGACATGAGGGTTTAGGCATTATAACTGAAGACCCATAAATTTGATTTTTTTTTAAAAATTTATTTCAGCTTGTTTAGGCTTAAAATCCATGCGAGCTTGGATCGAGTTAAACCCATAATATTAAAATAGATTTTTTTTAAAAAGGTTGTAAGGAAGCTTTCCACTTAAGTTCACATCTTACAAAGGGTTAATTAAACTTATGCTATTATTTTAGATACTCTAAATTATTATGTCTTTTTAATTCGGTTCACATTAGCCCATTACGGGATGTCGGGCTGGGTAGCACAAATTACCCACCTTAGTTTTACTCCATACCAAAAGCACTTAATCAAATGCATTAAATATTTTCTAATCAAATCATATATTGTTTCTTAAGATGACTGATTAAAAAATCACTAATAAAGTCACAATAATATTTTTCTACTCCACATTTCCGTTGTGGTCCAGAAGAATTGGGTTTTCTCACACATAGATGTAAATACTTTGTATTACTATACCACATTTCATAAAGAAAAGAGACAAGTTTATTTTTTGTCTATCACATAATTATTTTAAAATAAACAAATAAAAAATTTCTATATTATAAAAATAAAAAGCTCAGTATATGTACAGTGTAAAGAATTTTTACATCATTATCTAATTGAGTTATCATATCAGCCAGAATCCTTAATTTTTATAATTAATATAAAAATCATATCCATGATATATTTTCATTGATTGACAGTGTACAATTTTTGCCGAGATGATACACTAAAATTAAACTAAAAAATAATAGTAAAATTACATATCTTAAGGAAAACGAAAGTATAATATATAAATATTTATTGTCAACAATGAGAAATTAATTTTATTGTGTAATAATAAATTAAAGACACAAAGACTTTTAAAATTGAAGAAAAAATTATAAAAAATATTTAAATCAAAATATATAGCCTCTATGTCGAATACTTTGTGTCATTTTCTCATTTACAAGGAATTTATAAATTCGATGTTAAGTATATTTGGATGCGGTCATAATTTTTCCTTTTCAGGATTAGGAACGTGTTCAAGTGTAAAGTTATCCGATCAAAAGTTTAGACCAATTTAAAAACAAATACAGCCTGTCTCATAAATATCGTTAATAATTAGCGTACAAGTATTGCCCCTTTTATATTTTAATTAAAAATTTTATATTCCAAAAACCAATTTAAACAACCAACAAATTTCTTATATTTCAGTATGTATAAACTCAATTTTACATTATCTTTATTTTATGAAATTAATTTTAATTAAAAATTTTAAATAAATAATATATATTAAAAAATTCATCTTTAAAACAAAATTGATAATGAAATTTAATAAACATTCTTAATGAAATGTAAGTCTTGAGACAAGTAAATTAAGAATATTATCATTCTCACATGTTGAGCATGAAATAGGCATCTATGCAGTTCAGGTTAAATTGATTGCAATAAAATGCGAACTCAAGGAAAACTATCGAAACCTGCAAAATAAATTGTATAATTTTCCTTTAATTATTTCCAAAAATTCATTTGAAGTACTGGAAATGCCGAAATGGAAATGCATTGAAGCCTGTTGGTGAAAGAAAAAATCTGTTCTAAATCTCTTAATCTCTATAAAGTACGAATTTTGCAACATCATGAAGTCCTGCTTCTTCGTAACATTTGGCAATCCGCTCCAAATAATCATCCCATTCTCCCTCTATAGAAGCCAAATCTAACAAGAAAGCAGCTTCATCAAGCACAACCTGCAATTAATTTGAAAATGAAAACAAGAAAGATTAAGATGAATATCAGCTTACGCCTTGCCATGAATGTTTGATATTATAGCCATTGATTTTCAAATTAAATCAATAAATAGTTTCCACTATATGGCACCTGTGCAGGCGCCTTCCCCTTTTTAAGATCTTCTTGCCTTCCCTCTTCAGTAACCTTCTCTTTAATATACTCAATTTGCTCATCATCCCATTGTGCTATATTAGCGACGTCCTAAACAAAAGCGAATGTGACAAATCAAATACCAGAATAGGGAGAAAAGATCAAGCACAAGCCAACGCTTAAACCAGAAAACCAGACTGATAATGACTTCATACCTGATACTTGCAGCCCAGAGTCCACCATGGTGATTTCAAAGCTCCCCTGGCAGCATCTTTAGCTTCTACCTTACGCCCAACCCTGTAATAGTAATTATTAAAAGAATGGTTCCTTGGAAGTATAAGACAGTAAGCTCAAATTTCCCAACTTGAACAACTTCTAGTAGTAACAGAAAATGTTTAAACAAACCTCAACAAAACTTCAGCATTGAACACAAAAGGTCGCGCAAATCCAGGAAAATGCTCTTTCTTGGTATAAAATTCCCCAGTTACTAAAGCTGAAACCTTCCCACACAGAGACATAGCCAACATGTGTGAATTGATTACTGGCTAATGCTTGACGAACTAACTAAATGCAAGAGAATCTTACATGATCCCCTTCCTCAAAATGCCGAGTCACTTTGCGCTCCAGTATATCTGGAAATAGACCAACCTGAAAACAAATTAGGTTCTTGCAAATTTGCAATAATTTGTCACGAAGGTTAAAAACACAAATTAGAAATTTAATAATACCTTTCTCAAAAGATAGGAATCTAGGTTGGAAATTCCAGACTCAGCAAAATCACCCTTTCTGTAAAGTTTCTTCCCAGCCTCAGCCGAAGCATAAAATAATTCTTCGTTCCTTTCTTGGCTGTTCTTTGCATCTTCCTCAACCAATATTCTGTGTATAAATTGGTCTACCTATAAGCAGAAAATAGATAGTTGAAATAATACCATCTTAAATGCCAACTTATCAACATTGCAATTTATTAAAACCAAAGATAGTGATGTAGTCAAAAGACCAAACATGCTCCACTCACACTCTTAGCTAAAAGCCACACACCATGTTTTTTGACTTCCACCACTGGCATTTCCATCCTGCACTTGTTTATAACCATAAGATGATTAAAACAAGGGTCTTGCTAACTAAATTGGTTAAGAAGTCAATAAATATGAAGTTTTTATAAGAAATCACATTGAGAATATGTTGGAAATCTTAGGGAGAGTATACAATTGCACATTCAATAAAAAATCTTCACTTTTAATTTCTGAATCAGTGTCTTAAGGGCACTAGTTAGTATTTTCCTTATAACAATAACAAACTAAGCACATTAAAAAAGGATAGTCGTTGAGCTTACTCGGGCGGAGCCGTGGGCCAGCGCAGCAGTGCAGTTACATTACCTGTCAAACAATAATTACAAACAATACGGAACTCGAAGATTCCTCAAAGAACTTATCGCTAAACCCATACCAGAGCTATTTTTGGACAGTGGTACAGCAATAGGTATTAATCCTTGTTTAGCACCCGGAGAGATAATTGATTCACCTGTTATATGCAAAATCTTTGGAAATAAATCGCCTAATTATTAAATTATTAAAAATCAAGCCGCAGAAGAAATAATTCGAGCCACATATATGTGCATAATACAGTTTGATAGACCAAAATAATCTAAACCACGTGTTCGAGCACATTGAATAAATACAGATTCATGATTATTATAAAGTTGAGATTCCATTAACGGGTATAACTCCATGACATTTGATGAATTGTGAAGTGTTATGCTTTATGCGGAAGGGAGGTACCTCTGATTTTCAAAATGCTGAGGAGTTGCGAAAGATGCTGAGGAGGCTGAGTTGCAGCGACGTCCTTGACGAAAGAGACGTGGTCTGTAACGGAGGGAGAAAAATGAAGAGGAAAATGCAAAATGGTTTGAAGAAGGAGAAGAAAAATGCATTACCAGAAATGGAGGAAGATGAATAAGAAGAAGAGACGCGAAGGGAAACTCTGCGGTGGCTGAGAAGCAGAGGCCCGAAGTTGCCACGTGGACCTCCGCCGTACAACACCCCGCCGCCGACCTTCATTCTTTGTTAGCCTCTTTTGCTCCTACTGCCCTCCCTTTATCTATTTTCTTTTATTTATTTCGAAATAAAACATTGCCACATAAAACGAAAGGGTGAAGTTCCATAATCCATGATACAAAAATGAGCACTTTTTTTAATGAAAACGATAACAAAAAATATCAAAATTTACTTGTACTACCATCAAATTAAAAATATTATATACAAATAAAATTAGTGTTTTTGTGCAATTTTACTTTCTATTTTTTATTGTTTTTTAACTTTTAAAAATACAAAAATTTGTACATGTACACTTTTAATCTTATTCCTCAGGTGATCTGAAAATGAAAGATAAAAATATTAATTTTGCTTATTGTAAAAATATTATCTTTGTATAATTAATTTAAAATTTAAATTGAAAGTAAATTTCATTCATTAATAACAACTTTTTTTTATAATAATGATTTAACAATATTAAATTTAAAATATGTGCCATGAAGTTTAATACAAATCTTAATGTAATTTTTAATTTGATTGATTTTAATATTAAATCTAGAAGATGGACATTGTTGTTTTAACAATATTTAGGATTACTATTTTTCTCATTATCCCATAGCGTATAAATTTTCTGACAACAATATATATTTTATATAAAATTATACTAATATTTTTTATTATTAATACTGAACCGCTTATTACTCAAATTAATTTTTATCGATAATTATGTTAATTTTTAAAATTATAGTTGCTTAAATATGTAAATCAAATGATAAACAAGTGCATCACAAAAATATAAAAATATACAAATCGGGGCATTGATATTTAAATTGCATAAATCTTATATTTCACACATAGCATTTTATACTGAAATATATTAAATTCAAATTTATTATTGTTTTTACATCTTATATTGATGACAAGTTTATATAAAGAAAACATTTATATTTAAATCATATGTAAACATGTACAACTCGCGAGCATGAACAATTTTCATGAAAGCATATTAGAATGACAGGGAAACAGAATGATTCTATACTTTTTTTACCCTGTATGTATATTTTAATTATATTTTAATGTAAAATCACAGAATGGATGTTTACACTGTACATGAATAAACATTTTAAATTTTCAATAATTTAAAATATTTACATTACATGTAAGTAAATAATTGTATTGAACGAAACAAAATTACATAAAAGTATTAGTATCTCAATATAACTATCATATTTATGATTCTATATAATATCCGAGTTATATATCTAAATATGTTTGTTTGTTATGATTTATTTTAATAATTTTTTATATAATTTCTAACTAACCGCGCTTAGGATATTGACAAATAACAAATTATCCCAATATAGATAAAATATATTATTTTCTAATTTTTTTTCTTTCTTTAATTTAATATTTTTGTATATAAGACTTTCCATTTACTGCCATTAAATTATACGCGGTCTATCTTTTTTATGATACCACTTTCTCTAAATATCTTATTAACTAAAAGTTTATCTCTCATTAAAAGTGACTTTTCAGTTCAATTTACATATTTATAAACTTCATTTTATCTCTTCATAACCATTATGCTTCTCTTTTCTCTTCAATTTTTCCTTTCAATCTCGTGTATATATATATATTAGCTCCACATTCTTTTCTTTTATGCTGATTAAGTATAATTGTTAACAATGATTCAGTATTGTTTTTTTCTTTTTTAAAGCCTCGTATTTTTTGCACTTTCCAGGATTGTGAGGTATTTCATGAATTTGGGTGATTATATGGTGCAAATCGGGTTGTTGAAATAGATTAACGTGCACATTACTATCACACCGCGTTATTTTCTAAGAGAGAGAAAAAAAAAAGATTTACAATTTCTTTTGTTCAAGAGCAAATATTATCTAAAAACAATATACTCACAGTTTTACAAACAATAGAGAAAATTAAATAAAATTAATATAATTTTAGTTCATTGTTATTTAATTATTGTTATTATTCTTTTATTTAAATTAATTATGAATAGTGCGTGTAATAAACGTCAAATTATTCCTAATTTAAAGATGTTATCATTATTGCAAATGGTTAGATATAATATTTGTATTTATTCATGGAAAATTAATTTTACACAGGTTAGATATTTAATATTTGAAGAAAAAAATATATTTTGTATGAATAAATGACTTGTATTTTATGATAAAATTTAATGAAAAAGATTTGTAATTTTACGAAGTATAGTGAAAGAATAAATAATGGAACTTAAAAGCATTTAAAATAAATGACTATAACAAATATTATTGAGTGAAATCAACTATTAACAGTGTGTTTTTGGTTTTGGTATATGATCTCTTATTTTTATAGTTATTTATACATATACAAACACAAAACTTAAGTTTATTGTATAAATGTAAATGCAAGTCGCTCTTTATTACATAGGAGCGATAAATTCAAAATTTTAGCTAAAATACATTATGTAGAGATGAGATAAACATATTTTTCCTTTGCTCAATAATTTTTATTTTTAATTTATGTTGATAGAAGATGTATGTTAATTTTTGCAAAAGTTTTAACACTTTTGTGATGGTTGAAAGTAACTTTTATTTTGATGAATAGTTAAAATTATATCACACATTTTGATATTACATAACATTTGTTTTTATGCTTTGATTTTACTCTTGGTGTTTGAGACGCATGATATTTCATTGTATGTTTTACTTACAAAGAAATTAGTATTGATTTTTTTCTTTGCCAATTTAGATTTATTGCTGTCAAATAATATCTTAAATGGTTACTTGACTCTTGAGTCAAATCATAACATTGATTTAGAATAATAATTAGGATAGTAGGCCCGAACAATTTGATTGTAAAATAAATTTAGTACATGTTTAAATAAGTTTTTTTAAAAATAATTACTTATTTCATTTTTGAGACATTTAAAAAAATAATATTTTTATAAATTTACACTGAATCAAAACATCTTATGTTATTACTCGAAAAAAAGAAAGATTTTGAAAGTGAGAAAAAAAACAAAGAATTGAAGAGAAACAAGGAAAATTGGAGACTAAAAACGAGAATGAAGAGAAGAAAATTAGTGAAGGGGATAAGATAAGGGACTTGGTCGTTTGTGTGTCTGTACAGTGTATATAATTCAAAATCATGTTCCCCCCATTCCAGTCACTTCCCCGAACGAATAAAATACAGAAAAAGAAAAAAGAAAAGAAAATAAGAAAAGGTCTCGTCAAAAGCGGCGGAAAAAAATTGAAAGCCTTCCCTAATTAAGTTTTTATAGGATTTTGAGACGTGACTTAGGGTTTCAACTTTCAACTTGCCCCGCCAATTCCACTCCTCAAACTCAAGCCCCTTCTCCATCGGCAATTCCACCTGCATGATTCGGATCTCGATTCGATTCCCCGTTTCCGATTCGGCTCCGATAAGCTTCGCCAGCATTGCCTCCGTCAATGGCGTCGAAGCCTTCGCCGTCGCCTTCTTCTTCCAGATCGGAGCCTCCCGTCGATCCCTCCGTACACTCTCTCTATCTGTTTCATGCATTCATTCCCTTATCCTCGCCCAAACTCATGCTAACTAACCATGTTTCGCTTTCGCTTTTTATTTTTTTTCCATTTCTGCTTCGATCTGATTTTAATTATGCCTTTACTTTGCATCTTTCTCTGGCTATGTTTTTTACTATCGATGTTGACTAAGCGTTCCATCAATACAAAGCAACCTCGCTACGAATTTTTTTTTTTTTGTTCGCTAAATGCTTGCTAAAATAGGTTGAAACTGGAGATGTAGCTGCATTGTCTATATGACTTCTTATTCGAGATGTGGTTTGGTATTACATCATTTAGGGAAGTGTATTATGCTTTGATAACAACCTGCATGGTTCTTTTGGTCGCTGGATGTTATGCTTATTGCGTTGGAGTCTGTGTATTGGTTTTGTTAGATGACTTATTTTCTGTAATCACTTTATACTGAGTGTGACTGGCAGATTTGTTTGAGTTGTTATTATCTGATGTAACTGGGACTTGGCAATGTGATAATATTATTGTTTGAATGCAGACAAAGAATGTGGAGGCTTCAAGTCCTACGGTTAAAGATGTGTTACTGGTTATTGATTCTTTTAAGAAACAAGTTGCTGCTGAGCGGATTGTTTCTGTGAAGGTGTAATAGCTCAACTTGCTACTGTAGTTTGTTGTTGATTTTGACTGGACCTTTTACTTGTTTTTTTTTTTTTTCCTTTCTCATGATGTGCATTTGAATATCAGAAAAGAATGGAAGAAAACAGACAGAAGTTGGTTGGTGTCACAAACCATCTCTGCAAAATGTCGATGGAGAGGAGGAGCTGTGGCATTACTGACATGAGTGGAAGTCTGGACCTACTGACAAAGAGGCAAAAAGATGCAATTGATATGCACAATGGTGTTCATGCAACTAATGGTGATATGGAGAGCAATGGCTATCATGAAGATAGCCATGGTTCGACAGCAGTTCTTCTAGGATCTAATGTTGCTGTAAAGAATGCTGTTCGTCCTATCAAGCTGCCTGAAGTAAAAAGATTACCTCCTTACACTACATGGATTTTTCTGGACAGGTCTGTTTTCCTTATTCTATGTTTTTCTTTCCCATTTATAGCACCCGTAGTGCTGTGCGATACTTAATGTTAGGTGGTAAAGAGCTGATAATAGCATAAAGTGTTATAAATATGACGATGTTGCGGTTGATGAGTGGACAAAAATGACCAAGTAGGATCATCAATGAATGCATTAGAGAGTGGTTTGGCTATCTATAGTTAAAGGTAGGGGGGGGGGGGGGAACCAAGGAAAACTAGGTGAAACCATTAGAGAGGACTTAGATCTAAAATGGACTTTTTGAGGGTTTGGTTCACGAAAGGACAGGACACAATGTTTTCGTTTGATTCATGTAGTTGAGTGCCTGAGTCCACCTATTGGGTAAAAGCTTTGGTTATTGTTGATTTGCCACATGCCAGTCCTTTATGTGGTTTTTAACTAACATTAATTATGTATAGCCTGAATAATGGCTCACTGACTTCTGTTTGTGAATTTAACCTGAGGTCTTAGGTTTCATGCATACAATTGACGAAAATTGAATGCAAAGAAAAATGGAAACTTTTGAAGA